GGTATGATGCTTATAGAAAAATATTGGTATTCAAAAAGTACATATATATATATATATATATATATATATATAGTAAGAAAATAATCAAATAGTAGAGAATATTTCTGATTACCAATATTCTGTCCCGTTCGTCGTGGAAATTCCAATAATAAACCGCATTTTTTGTGACCCAGAATATAAGGAAAAACGTAAGACAAATATTTTTAGCTTTTCTAATTTTATATTTTATTCAAAATTTTGATCACAATTTTCATATCACGGATCAGATGTTTCACATCTTTTTTCAAATGATGTTTACAAAAATAAGTAAAATTAGAAAAATCCTTTTGATTAAAAACTTATTTATTCCAAAATTGAAAAGTAAATTTACTACACATGATGTTGCATGATCTGTCCAGATGATGTATCCATCGAAATTTGTATAGTGCTTGCCAAGAACATAGTCTCAATGTACTACTAATAAAGTTATGACAAATTCGTAACTGCACCTCCATGAAGTATATCCGGCATGAGAATATTCGTACAACATTCGTATTTCCAGATGGAAGCTGTGCAAGTTATGATGATTCATCACAAAATTCATGTAACAGCAAAGTAGAATTTTCGAATTCCTACTAATCGAGGTTCGATTAGTAGTAATTCGAAATGAGACCTGCGAGCGAGATAAAATATATAATAGATCCTATTAGCCCCATCGAGGCGCGATGAGCTACACAATGCCGAATTTCGATGTACCTGGTGATGGGAACATGTTCTTTGAACACAAAGCGAGAGTTAATAAATATCTGATGATAGCAAGTTCGGTCAGAGATTCACTTCTGTAATGGTCAGCATGGCGTGCCTGAATCATGAGAGTCACTTCAGATTAGCTGGACGGCGAAGAACCAACTAATCCAATAAAGCAGAAAGGAATTAAGGATGAGAAAAGCCCGTACGTGGAGGAACCTGAATTAGGCAATTGAGAATGATCATCAGCAGCGTGGTAGAAAACAGAAGCTCCACATTGCGAATCACGTACACTGATATATAAATAGCGTCGAGAATTGCGGGCCTGAGAGGAGGGGGAAGAGAATTAATAGAGGAAAGGCGCATTGCCGGCATGACAACGAACTCGGGGGTAGAAGGTTTGAAATGTAGGAATTTGAAATACGAATGATGGTATGACATGGAACAAAGCAGGCCATAAAAGGTCCGACGAGAGCTGACTCACGCTCCTAATTACGCCAGGTGCCAGCTTCTGCACGTGACCACGCGTCGAGCCCACGAAGCCACCAGGGGGCTGGGGCTGGGGCTGGGGTTGAGACGAGAAGCCCAAGCCCAAGCCCCTGACGGGGCTTGTTCTCTCTCACCAATGATTTGCCGAGGGCCCCCTTCTGACAAGGAGCGTGCTTTCAATGGTCTTAAGTGATCGATTAGTGCAAATCCGGGTGCTAATTTAAGTCCGTCGTCCGTTTGCTGCCTTCCTTCCGTCCTTTCGTCCTTCCGTCCGTCGTTCATAAACCGTGCGTTTGGGGCCAAGAACCATCCGCTACGGCACCGGCGTAACGGAGCCGGGACCACGACTCTTCGCCTCGTACCGGTAAACCTTCGGTAGGCCCTAACGCCCTAACCCCCAATGACTGCCCCCACGGAGATTCGATCGAAGGAAAGTGGGTCGATTAGGCGAGTCGTCTTAATATAATCCACCAGATTAGTCCGGAAACAAGCCCAGCCCCTACCCCCCATCATGCATGCAGAACGGAAGTACTGCAGCACGTAAGCGGAACTTCGTTAGGGGCTGATGAGAACTGGGAAGGGGCTGCGAGGTGGCACGCGAAGCTCATAAATGGTGGCCTTAAAAAGCGCCAGCGAATTAAGTTGCGATTCTCGCATCTGTACCGACGATTTGGGGGACAGCGGGGTTCTGCTGTGCATCCTCCTGTTCACAAGTGTGCTGTGCTTAATTCCCCAGCGGTGGATTTCTCCGAATGTCGAGTTCCTCTGGAATTGTACCCGCACCCGAAGTTCCCAGAAGTACTCACGGAGCCCATCGTCCCTCGTTCTGGTTAACCACCCAAATACTTTACTGTGCTCTCCTCGGTGAAGAATGAATGGTCATTTCCGAACATCGTGCACGCATGCCTGGAGGTGAAATTGCGCCTACTCCTCCTAGCTCGAGGTGGATGTTGTTTTATAAGGAGGCTATGGAATGAACCCCAGCACGCACAAGTCCAAGGAGTGAATTTGAGCAAAAGATAATGTAACGAAAAATTCCTAAAACCTAGCGGGTCAAAATTGGAGTTGAAAGCAGGAACATTTTGGTGCTAGTGCAGAAACTTGGACAACTTGATTCGATTGCAGATGTTGAGGATGGTGCGAATTCACGCAGAAGTGAAGAGGGGTGAAGAGGTCCTGCCTGAGATTCGTGGCTGCTTGGAGAGGTCTGGACGGACTCTCTGGAATTCTGACGGGCTTCTGTCGTGGTTGGGTTAGTGAGTAGACTCCACCTGCACAGTCCAGGTGCGAGAAGGCTGGACGGACGTGTCTGACGGCGTCTGAGAATCTGCAGGAGGCAACGAGACGAGACGAGAGGAGAAGAGAAGAGACGAGACGAGATGAGACTCACGAGAGTGAGAAGGATGTGCTCAGGTCAATGAATGCTCTGCAGCCCCGGCAGAAAAGTGCAGCCCTGCACTGCAGCAGCAGCAGCATCCAGATTTTGCCGATGCACTCCGAGTGCCCACAGGCTGGCTAGCTGCCCCCCCAGACGGGCTTACGAACGCACGATGATTCTTTCACTGTTCTCCATTGGGCTCGGTCTCTCTCTCTCTCTCTCTCCCTTATTCGTTCATTCATTCGGTATCGTGGAGGAGGCAGCAGCGACAGGGGCTTGTGTGTGTGTCCTGGACCGAGCTCTCTCTCTCTCTCTCGCCCGCGACGCCTCTCGTTGATTCTCTGCCCCATGGTGGGCGGGCGGGCGAACGTACAGCTCACCATCGCAGTCGTATTGCAGGCGATTGACTCGCGACGAGCTGCGTTCGGTGCGAGCGTTGGATACGCTCTACGGTACGGGCATGGACCGAAGCGGCCATGGGGTGCCGTAATTCTGGGCCTCGCGAGCCCTCGACTCGACATGGTCGTCCTCTTTGGAGCTGTAAGTGACTGCGGATACGAGGGGTCCGACATGAGGTCGACATGGGGGCTCGGCTGCGCCGTGTGGTGCCAGAGCCCCTACGCGCTCCGGTTCGTCGCCTCGCCCGGATGATGCCCTCTCGGAGCTCCTAGCCCCTATGGACCCGTTATTGCCAGCGGGGCTGGGGCTGGGGCTGGGCGGGGGAAGTGCCCCGAGGGGCTTAGGGCCTCCGGTAGAGTGACTCGAGAGCGACGGGGGATAGAAAGTGAGTGCTCGCGGGTGCCAGGGGGTTGGGGAAGGGCTTGGGGTTGGGGTTGGGGCTGGGGGTGGGGGTCCTCTATGTGCCGGTACTGCATGCGCAACAGAGGGCGAGGGGAAGAGGAAGCTGTTGTGGGGGAAGAGAAGGGAAGAGAGGAGGAGCTGGTGTGGCATATGGTGGAAGGAAGGGGGGGAAGATTCCTCGGAGAGCAGAGGGCGGAGGGATCTCGGACACAGCAGCAGCAGCTCTGCAAGCGAAGAAGAGGTCGTTCGCTTGCAGGGCTGTCATGTCATGTGTGGGGGATTTGGCACACGTCGGCTCGCAAAAGGAACTGGAGACACCGGACTGCGACAGGTTGTCTTGACAGATTCGCCAACGTTCGACACTCACTCCTTCCTAAGTCTTCAGAGCTCGCTTTTCTTCTGCAGGCATGGCGAGCAGCAACAGCCGATGCTTGCTCCGAAGCTTGGCTTGGCTGAAAACTGCAACTCAGCAGTATCTACACTCCAGCCCCTGCACTGACAAAATCGGCTAACTCCGAAGAGGGGGGAAGGAATTTCGTGCCCACACACACAATCACCTCCCGCTGTGCATCGGTAATCATCAGTCGTTGTCACCACGTAGGAAACATATGATTCCTACGTGATGACACTGTACGAGAAGAGAGCATGTACACGGCCTTCGCAGCAGGCCGTAGGGAACTCGGTGCCTATACAGCTTCTGCCAGAGGAGTCTACGGGGTCGCAGATTCCCTGTCGACCTACGTGCATCATACAATCCATAGCCAGGATTGTGCCGAAGCTAGAGACCAGGCAAAACGCGTTTGCTTCCTCGAAGCTAACTAAGTGCTAGTGGGCGAGATCTGCTGGGAACTCCTCATCATACTCTCCCTTCGTATTCCTCGTTGCCTCACGACGATATTCGACCACGAGTGCAAACCTCTCACGTTCCATGCGTCTTCACGACTGCTACTTTTCCCCATAATTAAGGTCGTTTCGAATGTACATGATCCTGCTGTGAATCACGTCCGCCTCCATGTGTACGAACTTTCCTGCTCCTTTCGATGAAAAAGATAAAAACAAATTACGTTCCTCGCAGCCATGATTCACTCTAGACCGCGCGACATGATCTGACTTATAATCTGAATCCAAGAGTGAAACTACTACATCAGGTTCCCTGCAATGGAGGCTTAGACCACAAATCAATCGGCCATACAAAGTTTGTTCTCCTGCACTATCCCTGCCTCAGCGCGCATCGTGAGGGGTAACGACACCACCGCGTAGGGACGAATTTTGCTTTGTCGATGGGAGGCGATGTTGAGGAGTAAGGCTTTGACGATCAGGAGAGTCGCCGTGTGAGATGGATGAAGGCAAGCAGGCAGACAGACGGCAACTGGCCTGTGGTAGAGTAACATTCCCGGTCTGCTTTGGCGACTTGAAGATGAGGCATATCATATCCTCCTGCGGCATCCCCAAAATCGAGTACAAGCTGTTGCGCACTCGATGGCCGGGGGTGAGTGCTCGAGTGGTCCGGGGATTGTGGCATCACAGCAGAAATGGGCAGATCAGAAATGATGATGGCCAACAACAACTTGGGCAGAGGCTGTGGAAGTGAATGATCCTCTCCACGGGGAAACAAACACAGACACATCCGATGGCAAGGCGAGGCATGGAGGCAAGGCAAGTGCAAATAATTTTCGCTTACAGAAACAGAATCACGGCTTTGTTACAATACAAGGATGCATCGTCTGGCACGCACGCACAGCACAGCACTTCAATCGGTGCATGGGGCATGGAGCCCCTTCACTAGGCACGAAGACGGCAGGCAGGCAGGCAATAGTCACAAGAGCTCGGTGACACAAACGTATTTCAAATGTACCAAAGCTAGGCTAGCGCCGTGCCATGGCCGTAGCTAGGCATTGGATTATTAGAAATGGCTAAGAATATATTCTCCCGCAGAGCCGCGGCCTCGTCCTCGTCATGAATGAATGAATGAGAGCGCAGCGAGCAGAAGAAAGACATACGCTATCGTGCTTTTTGTCGACCAATCGACGAACCTCTCCCTAAATTTCTACGGACCAAGCGACGACGACGACGACGACGATGAATGAGTAGAGTGTACAGACAAAGCTCAGCGTGAGACGAGAATGCGCGAGATGTCATGTCATGCTTGCGGAGGAGAAGACAAAATAGACAAAAGGTGCTGGAGAACGAAAGCCATCCACACACAAGATCGAGAACGGGATCGAGCAAGCGAGCGAATGAGCGAGTGAGTGACAGAGATTGAGAGATTGAGTGATTGAGAGAGGGAAAAGGAGGGAAGAAAGGGTAAGATTGAGTACGAGCTCAGACATTGGCCCGGCGACGAGAGAAGAGTCGTCTGTCTGTCTGTCTGTCTGTATGTCTAGCTTGCCCACCGACACCCCTACGACTACGAACCCAATCCCCACTCGGAAAGCAAACGCATGCGTCGGTGACGAGAGATGGCTTCGCCTCTCCTTCCACTGCTGCTGCAACGCTGCCACCCCGAGAAAGAATCCAGACCAATCGACCTTTCGCTACGGGCCTTGAGAAATGTGTCGTAGTCTTTGTCGTCTTCGTTGTCGTTGTCGTCGTCGGTGAGTGCAATCCTTTCTCCTTTTGCTGCTGCTGCTGCTCCGACACTGTGACGAACTTCGTGCCCAGAGAGAAAGCGAGCGAGCGAGCGAGTGCTCGGACGGGGAAGAAAATGAGGGCACAGTGTGCTCGCGCACTAGAAATCATGCGGTGCTGTCGCGAGCACCGCGCGCCGCATTACGAGGTCCACCGAGATGGAAATTGGAGGGGGTGATCGGGAAGCCTACACCTCCGTAAGAGAGAGCGAGCGGGAGGTCCCACGTGAAAACGAACATCCCGTCCCGCGCATTGGGCCATTCCTGCGAAACCTTGTTTCTTCTTCCCCTGCTGCTGATCGTAATCTTTAAATCTTCGAAAGAATCTGTCTTCCCGGCCGCCATATCCACCACCACAACCATCACCACCACTGACTGCCACTGCTGCTGCTGCTGATGCATGGCCCAAAATGTAAAAGCTCCAAAGATTGGGGAAATCTGTGAAGAAAGGGGCAAAGGAAACGAATGGAATGGCAGGAAGGGAAGGGAAGGGAAGGGGGAGGGGAGATGAGGAGGTCATCAATCAATCAATCTTTGGGGCCAGATGATGAATGGTGCGAATGGGGCGGAGAGAACTTTACAAGATGCTACTAAAACAAAGAATGGACGGACTCGTCGTCGTCGTCCTCTACACTGAGCTTTGGGTTCCTACGGAAAGAATGAAGCCGCCGCTTGTGCCGCCCGCTGCTGCTGCTGCTGGCTCGCTGGGCTTGCAATGGCGATGGCGATGGCGAATCGAAGCTGCCGCTGCTGCCGCCGCGGCGCGATCAGCTCACGTAGTCGCTCTCGAGCACGGGCTTGGTGCGGGTGCTGGCGGCGGCAGGAGCTCGGCCGCCCCCGATCAGCGTGTGGTGCAGAGTTTCCCCATGGTCCGCGACGCGCTCCATCTTGGCGAACTTCGCTCTCTCGCGGTAGCGCACGGCCACGAGCGCGACGAGCGACAGCAGGCCCAGCAGCACGATTGCGCCCGCCACAGCGCCCACGGCGATCTTCCACGCGTTGTTGCTGCTCTTGCTGCCGCCGGGCGAGTCCATGACTCGCGGCACCAGCAGGGCAAAATCCCCGAGCGTCGTCCAACTGCACGAGCTCGATGATGGGGAGGTGAAGTTAGACACGACGATGTCGGTGTCGTTAAACAAGACGCAGGTCGCGTTGATGTTGTTGTTGTTGTTGGTGTTCAAATTAGCGACGGTGACCTCGATGGGGCGAGCGGTGGTGGTGACACGCAGCTCCGGCAGAGGGTCGAAATTCGTCAGGTTGGTGCCATTGTACACGAGCACGCCGACCACGGGAGCCGCGAACTCGGAGCCGGCGGTGGCGTTGTGGAAGTTGTAGTCCTTGAAGCTTCTGTACACGAGAACCACATGCCGCAGGTTTTCCTCCACCTTGACGCCCACGGGCAGGTTCACTTCGCCGAATTGGAATCCATATCGCCTCAAGCGCCCGGTCCTGAATCGCACCATCCGCACGTCCGCCACGCCCGAGAGGTTGCCCGGCAGCGAGGCATTGTACACCGCCCCCGTCACCACCCGGCGAGGAAACGATTGGAACGCCGCCGTCTGAATCTGCTGATTCAGTGCCGTGCGGTCCACCGAGAATTCCTCTGCGCTCTGCGCTTGCGCTTGCGCCAACAGCAGCAGTGACAGCAGCAATGCGGCCAGCAGTGCTAGATTTGAGCTCGCCCTGCGCGGCGATGCGAATAATAACGACGACGATCCCTCGAGGACCTGCTGCACCCTGTCCGAGCTTCTTCGGCTATTCCTGTTGAGCTTCCTGCATGCCCGACCTCCCGGGCTGCACATGTGAGACGAATCCGACGCACTAACTGCTCGGGCTGAGGCACCAGCGGCCGTCATAGAGCCCTGGCGCAACTTCAGACTGCTGATGATCGCTCGCTCTGCTTCGTCGGCAGACGACGCTCTGCGCTTCCAGCTTTCCTGCCCCAGTACCGCAACATTCCGCCTCGGCGCTTCCGGCCCTGCGCCGAAGCCCGTCCCGCATCCGCTCTCCCACTCTCGCCCTCTATTCCCGATTCTCGCCCTGCTGCGAGCCCCGAATTCTTGCCCGAGGCTTGCTGACAGTCGGCTCACGGAGGGCGAGCTGGTGGCCAAGAAACCTGAAATCCAAATCTACGATACGCCCCGGGATCGAACGGGGAATGCAATGGCGATTGGGAGAGGGGAGGAGGTCTCAATCCGGCCTGGAGACGATCACCACAGCGTCGCAAGTGGAGGAGGAGATGAAGAAGCAAGCGCGTTGGACTGCGGGGATTATTTTCCTGTCATTACATCGACACCGCAGCTCCATGCTTGCAGAAAAAACACATTCTCGAGAGAGGGTGCGGGGGCCGATGGCCAGCGCCACTTCACGGGAGGTGATGGCGGACGAGCGACCTACATTGGGCGGTGGGGACTCCGAGCCTGCTTCGGCGCATGAATCCTTCGCATTCCTGAAACAACAACAATGACAACAATAATAACAAACGAGCACCGTCGTGCTTCCTTTCCACTCCCTGCCTTGGTTCGTTCGCTCGAGCGGGGGCTAGGCGGGGGCTAAGCGGGGGCTATCGAGAAGGGAAAAACTCTCGGGGAAATGCGGTGGGGGGGCAGAGATGAAGAAGCGGACGTTGTTCGGTCGTCCGCGCCAACGGGAATCAGCGCCCCTCGCCAGCACCTGTGTATTCCAAGCCTCAGAACTAAACTCGCAGGGCTAAAAGGGCCTCTCGCTCGCTCGCGCGGGGCAAGCTAAACTTTTTTTTGTGCGAGCCCGACGAGAGCTAATGGCGCCTCAAGAAGGGCCGCCAAATCGTCCTCAGATGCAGCCCGCAAACCCTCGCGCCCCTCACAACTGATACTGGAAGGAAAAACGCACGCGTCCAACGGTACCCCCACCACCCCCACCCCCCTGTCCTCCCCTCCGTCTCCCCTTACCCCTCCCCTTACCCCTCCTTCTCCTCCTCCTCCTCAACCCCAACCCCAACCCAGCTCAACTCTACTCAACTCAACTCACTCGTACAGTCCCCAGAACTTGCTCAGATCGAGCAGATGCTGCTGCTTGCTCCACTCTACGGCTCCTCCCGCGAGCTGAGCTCAACTGAGCTCTCCTTGCTGCCACTCTCTCTATCTGTGTACCACCTATGTATCTCTCCCCCTCCTAACTCAGTCCCGGCCCGACTCTGATCAAACCCAGCTCGCTCGCTCGCACACTCAGTCAATGACCACGGGGCCTCTCTTTCTCTTGTCTACCCATGCAGTGCAGTCCCCTATCGTCGATCGATTGCACTGCACTACACTGCACTGCTCTGCTGTGGACAGAGCGAGCATTACCCTGAGCCTCGTGCCTTCTTTCTCCCACTCGTTGGGCGAGTGAGGGAGGGGACGGGAGCTCCACAGAGGGCAGCAGATCCTCCGAGCGGTGGCGGGGCCCACAGGACCTCTTAGGCCCCTGTCTGTCCGCCTTTCTCACTCCCGCGTGTACCCCCGCAGTAAAAGTTCGGCCCTTCCTCCTCCTCCTCCTCCTCCTCCTATTTCCGTCTCCATCGGGGAGAGCCCCACCGCATCAGGGATCTAACGGTGCGCTCTTGTCTCCCGTGAAAATGCAGCAAAATTCCAGCTCGGTGATGTCAGAATCTCCTGGCCATGACATCGCTCGGTGCAGCAATTCCGGAGCCCTCGTCACCTTCCTTTGGCACCGTCGATGCAGCGCAGGTTTTCGGATTATCCCATTTTTGTTTCTTCGACGGTCGCGCCTGGAGAAGAATTCTCTTAACCTCCGGCCTTGCAGGAGGCAGGACTGGTTTCTCCGGGCTCGAGGATTGGTCACGTTAGCCCCCGGGGGGAAGACACATTTAGCGGCACAGGGGGATTTATTGCCGGCTGTGGCAGTAGGTGGCCTGCACATTTCGGGCTCCCTCCAAATTAAGCAGCGACGGAGGTTTAGGGCAGTTAAAGTTAAGGGGCACCACCGTGAGGTAAAGTAAAAATAGGCAGGGGAGGTGTTTAGCTGGCAAAAGGTACGGGTCCTGCCAGTCCAGTCTGTCGCAATGCCCCCCCACGTTCCTTTTTTATCCGATTTTCGTCCCCTTTTGGGTTTTCTTACAACGCTGCACCATCTCTCATATCTTTTACTCCTCAGAGTCCTCTCATCCCCTTCTTGTCCGCGATTCTTCATTTGGTTTTTTACGCGCTACCCGTGCCTTTGTTGTTGTTCCCCTTCGTGAATATTATCTTCCGTGTATTTGAGCTTCCGAATGTAAATCTGGCTGGAGGAATTGTTTGTGCACACGACGCCAATCATGCTCCTGAGAGCAGAGGAGGCCACGAGCGAGAGGCTAAAGCTCCTTATCTCGGCTCAGCTTGTACCAACCAGGTCTCACTAGACTAGGCTGGGATTTGTGCAACTTTCATCCTCGTTACGAATAACAGAAAAATTCCCCAGTCCCATGAGAAGGGAATGGCTGCGAAGACCTTCGAATCTGTAATAGAATCAATTAAAGCTTCAACATGGTGCATACAACACTTTGCAGCTCGCTCGCTCACTCCTGTTCATCCAAGGAGCGAAAATGGGAAATGTTAGAAGCAGGAAATCATCTGGCCAAAATGGACATCAAATCTTTACTTTGAGATAGAAAAGTCTCGAGATCTCACTGTTTCCATCTTCACGAAGAAGGTTGAGGATGAAACATGATCAGCTGTCAAGCAGCTTTTTTCAGGAGGCTCGGAGACTTTTAGCATAAGTGGAGGTTTTGGTAAACATACTATGATCAGAGGTGACCCGAGATGTCTCTTGTGGGTTAATTATTGCGTCTGAATGAGACAACATTCTCATATGACTCCAAGTTTTGTCCGTCGGTCTGCACTCAGAAGTATTATTACTTAAGTAGGTAGAGGAGAGGAGCCACGCAGTACAATACCTGGGAGAAATAAGATAAGATTGTAATGAGAGGACTGCTGGAGTTCAGCCGAAGCAATAAGCACATCGTTTTAGCATCTGAAAGCTCGAGCAACGGATGAAATGGTGTCAGCTTATCGCAAAGATGGGAATCACTAAGACGTTCAGCGGTACGTACCGAGTACATTGATTTGATGGCTCTATCCGGAAGACGGATCGAGCCAAGCTTAGAACAAAATGGTGTCAAGATACACGTCGCCGGCTATTAATACATTCCGAACAATTGTTAATTGCAAGAATAATAATTCGTTCAAACGATCCATCATCAGGCATAACAAAAATGATGAGCTCCGATACTCGCCAATATTCCCATCCCCCTTGGCCCCAATGGCCCCCCCGACCCGATCGTTCGGAACGGGCAGTAAGTAGCGAGGTTTTCACCTCGGGCAGCACTCCCCGAAGCCGCTTCTTTGTAACGAGGCAATGATTCGTACAACGTATACATTAAAATAATACCGTTACCCCCCACGGAGCCCCCCTCCCCTCTCCGCTCCGCTCCGCTACTCGCACGCGACGCCCGCTCCGCCAGACTGAGCCCCCCTCCGTCAGTCTGACTAACCGCGGTAGGCCTGTGCTAAGACTGCGGTAATCCCGTTGCCGCTGCTGCCACCCCCAAGCGCAGCCCCCTCTGGCTGCGGTCTGCCAACTGCGCCTTGGCCCCAGCCCCAGCCCCCAGCCCCCATCTCCAGTACTGTGCGTACGTCCCCCTCCCTGCCCTCCTTCCCCTTCCCCTTCCATTCCAGCGTTTGTCTCTTTCTTTCTCTCTTTCTCTCCTTTCTTTCTTTCGTTCTCTCTGTCTTTCTTCCTTGTGCATGCTGTCATCTACTGGACTGTTCTGAGGGTGGCTCGAGGTAGGGAGGGCTTCGATGGATGGAAGAAGGGCTTGGGGTTGGGGTTGGGGCTGGGGGTGGACTTTTTGCTGCTGCATTGGCGACCTGGGGCTGGGCTTCCCAGGCCCAGCCCGCCCCGACTTCCACGATGCGGGAATGTCAAGCTCGCGCCTGGCGGAGGAGCTTGGGACCCACGAGGCGAGACGGACAACTGTAGGAGACCCCGAATTGACTCCTCTTTCGGCCACATCGTCTGCCGCGCTCCGGCTCCAATCGGCCCGGCGATCGTTTTTTATTTATTCTATTCCAGTAAATGTGCTGCTGCGCTTCGGTTTGAGAAAAGTACGAGCCGAGGACATTCGCATCGCGTTGCTTCGCAGTGCATGTAATCTTGGACTTCCGCTTCGGCTCGAGAGGTCGTCGTCTTTCTTGGTCGGGTTCAACGCTAACACCGGGAGACCGGATTCAAACAGACGACACTCGATGATGGATGCAGATATTCTTGAGAAATTTGAGTACGACGGGAAAATTAATCTCATTAATACCACCACGACGTCCGTCGCGCAGTTCGTCACTGATCCGAGGTCCGCCAGAGGATTCGGACGAGAATGATTTGCCTTTATGTGAGACCCGGGCTGACGAAGTCCGGCCTTCGCCTTCATCGATTTTCCACATTATCCCCCCACACGTCTTTTTAATGTTCGAGGAGCGCTTTCTTTTCTTTTTCCCTGGATATGAGTCCTTGGATTTGCTCCGCGCCTTCGGGCCTTTCGTTTCTTGCGCTGCGTCGAGAAAGCAGACGAGGCCGTTGATCTATTATTCACTCAAACGTCGTCGCAAGAAAAGAGAGCGATGGTCGCCACGGGCCCCACTCCGTCTCCGTATCGCCCACATCTTGAAGCCTCTTGAATTCGATGCCGAAGCCCCAAGATTTGCCGAAAAAACATCCGTTGCACAATGATAAAGAAGTCGAGGATGCTAGTTCGGGACGTTGACCATCTCGTCAATTTGTCGAGTCTCATGCTCATGCTCATGCTCACGCTCACGCTCACGCGTAAAGGCACTCGAGCCTCCGTCCAAACTCGGTCTCCTACCAATCTCCCTCCCTCCTTTCTTTCTTTCTTTTCTCGGCAATGTCGTCCCACGGAGGCAAATTGGATTCCCCACCACATCCAAAGTCGACACAAAGTTTTCCCAAAGAGAAGAGCAAAAGGACGAGACCGAGACCGAAGTGGACTCTCAAAAGGAGTGCGATGGTCTTAAAAAATTGCTTTCTTGGGCGAAGAAGATGCTTGTAAGCAAAGCCATGCATGCAAGGCAACGATGGAAACCTCGCGACTCTAGACGACGACGACTACGAGGAGGTCGTAAAAGGGCAGGCCGAGTTTGCTTGTCGACGGGTATGCAAACCTACGGAAGTCCAAGGTTTGGTCAAGGTCCATGGTTGGCTTTTCGCGCAGCGATGTTCGTCCATTCATTCGACAGGAAAGTTCATTCTCGCAACTGCGCGTTGAACGCGCAACCCTCGCAAAGCAACTCGAACGATGAACATCGGTGCCCAATCGGCATCCATTCTTGCAAGAAAGCAATCATTCTTGGGCGGGAAAAGGGCCGCGAATTATACACCGGACCCTGAAACGCAACGCTTTCGTTCCGGGAATTCTCACCGATGCTACCATAGCATCTACCAGTATTAAACACCGGATGTTCATCTCGAGGAAGTCGACACGAATCGACCATGGCGATCGACGATCGACGATGTTGCCACACGTCACGCTCGTTTCTCTTCGTTTCTCTTCTTTGCAACTCATCTCACGCTGGCGGCGTTCGCCATCGCTGCCTCCAAATTGCACCTCCTTCGAAATTCGGCGTTCCGGGAAATTCGATCGATCGATCGATCGTCGAGAGGTCGGGCCTTCGGAGACCG